TTTATTTTTAATTTAATATTTTCATATTTTATGTGTAGATGTAGGCCTATGTGAAAACTGTGAATGTCTTATAAAATCTTGGCCAATAAGGGAATGGCTGTAGTCTCCAAAGGCAGAGGGTATGGGGAGAAAGGCAAGAGGAATGGTCAGGAAGCTGGTCCCCTCAGACCATATTCCAGAGAGACAGAGATGATGATGAAGGACTAATCCAATCAAAGGTAGTGGATTATTTACTGCTTCTCACTTGATAAATTACTGAGGTTTAAAAATGCATCCTGTCTTAGAGACAAAATGACCTCACAATGAATAAGGAACTATTTCCCATCTAAAATGTACTATAGCTTACTTAAAATTAAGGAATACCATTTCAGGAGGAAATAAAAAGTTTGATTTGTTACTCTAATAATGTCAATGAAAAAAACTTACCTTACATAAAATTATATTCTTATTAAGAGAGGCACCATATAATAATTTCTTCACTATATAGGTAATGGGTAAGCATTATTGATTTTATTTTAGAGTATTATTTTTAATCTTATGGATCAAAACTCATCAAAGAAAATACTTTCAACCAGATTTCTTTATGAATGTCATATGCTTATCATCAATCATGATCAGAACACATAAAATCCACTCTGTAAGCAATTACCAAGAATACAGTTCCTTGTTTTTAACTTTAGTTGCCATGCCATACAATGGATCTCTTGATCTGAAGTTCTGCATCGCTTTTTAAACATCTCTCTAACTTTTGCATCCGTTTGGTCATTTCTCGACCTCAAAGAATGCAACTTGGAAGTTATGAGTTCATATACAATCTGGGTTGTTTATGTGTTGAAACCTTCTCTGATCATGAGATGGAAGGAATTTATCTTTATTTACAGGTACTTATGAAAGAGGAAAAATATTTTAGAAGACAGATGAAAATGCCTTGAGTCTCAATTTTATACAGGTGAGTATGGGAAAATGACATTGTGACGTATTAGTACTTTTTGAAAAGAGAAAGTAGAGCGAATTTTTAGGGTTACTGTGAATCTTTTGTCAGTTAATTTGAAAAGTATTCATGCATTTCATGCATCTATGAACATTCAATAAATATCCAACTATAAAAGGTGTTAGGCTATAGTATTCAATGAGGCAAATTGTTTGTAGTAGTATATACTGGTTATGACAACTGGTCACCAAACTCTTTCTCATCTTTTGGATTTACTCTGTGTGTCATCCTATGAAACTATATAAACTATCAATGAAGTAAATTAGTCTCTCATTTTGTAATAGTAATTGAGATCTACAAAATTACTCTGCAGTTCTGAATGGGTTACTATTTCTCTAAGCTTTATTAATATTATTGAGACTACCAGAATTTTCTGTGAATCTCTTTGATTTATATATATATATTTAAATATATAAGTATTTATAATTATTTTATATACACACATACATATATATAGATCCCTTTGGTTTTATATATATGTGTATATATATACACACACACATTATATATATATATATATATATATATATATATATATATATATATATAT